ATTTTTTATTTTTGAATAATAAAAAACTTAAAAATTAAAAAATTAAAAAAAAAACACTCATCTTCTCCCACCCGAGGAAGCTGCACCCCTCCACTTTGGCTTCGAATCAGGAAATATATGCCTGATATCCAGAAGCCCCAAAGCCCTTAATATTGCATCCACCACACAATGAACCAACACATCCCAAAATTCAAAAATTAAATCGAAAATGTAATTAAATACATTAGAAAATGTGAAATTATGGGAAGAAAAAAGCAGATTAATGGAGGAATTACCGTCAGAATGGGCATCCCAACCTCTGTCATGAGGAATTTCGATGCCGCCGATGATCAAAGGGTACCTGGACTCCAGCTTGTGTAGGTCGAACCCGTACCCGGCCCGAAAAAGCAAAAGATTGGACGGAGTGGCGGAAGTTGGAGCTTGGTCGACCTCCAAGGCCGTGCTCGAGAGGTGCAAAACAGAATTTTTTACAGAATTGTGACGGAACGATTACATTATTCTGCAATACTCATTTTCAGGGACTATATTAATCGATTTTCAATTTCAGAAACCATCTTGATGTGATGCGTCAATTTCAAGGAATATTTGTGATAAAAACTCTAGTTTATAACCATTTTAGTTGTACAACTATGATCCGCTTAGCTATGTTAATGTAGACTTTGTCCTTGTTGATTAGACTTTACAGGGATTCTTGCAAGCCACCAAGTACACTCCCTTGTGAGTATAAGATTCATCACGTGACCGGTGACAACCAAATCTTTCTTCTCCATGTCCGGATCACAAGATTATGAGTATAGTACTTATTACATGACCGGTGACACCCAAGTCCTTCTCATGCTGTGGTGTGCTGTGGAGGAGTGCGGGGCTCTGTTTTGGGGTCCTGTTGTCACTCTGTTTTCATCCAGCTTTGGGGCAATAGTTCGGTTGATTTCCAAAGGTTGTAGGGGGCTGTTCGTTTGGTAAGCAGGTTGATGGCGGAGGTAGGAAGCTAGTAAGGTTTACTTTGGTGTTTTTTCTGTTCAGGCCTCAAAACTATATTTTGGACTGTTGGGTTATTACGAAGATCCATCTTTTTGTTTGTGTGTTTCTTGTATTTGGGCCCTCTCTCGTGTAATCTATTGTGTTATAAATAAAGTAAGCCTCTATCCATATATATATATATATCTTAGTAAAGCCAAGAGCCCCATCAATTTTCTGACTCAGTGCTATTTAATTCCAAACCAAAGCATGAGAAATAATGATACAACACATTTATTTATGAATTGTGTCTCTATGTCAGACAAGGCTGGCTGCACGAGCAGAGACTCTTTGCTGGCTGGTTTCAGGTTTAGGGTTGCAACACTCGTCTCTTCACTGCATGTGTAGTCAGTGTGTGTGTGCACGGTCCATACGGGAATGGCACAACCTTAATTAATGGAAAGGAAAAATTTGAAATAGGTCCAATTTTGTAGATTACCTTTTGAAATAGGTCCAATTTTTAGTGACTTTTGACTTTTGAAATAGGTCCAATTTTTAGTTACTTTGGACCTATTTCAAAAAACCCCTTATGAAAATTGGTGGTTTATGCCCCACAAACAATGGATGGGCTGCCAACTCAGGGTTGCAACCTGAGCTGAAGGTGTTTTTTGTTGACCTGCATCGTTTAATACATGTTTCGGAGTGTTGGATTTTGATTTCGATAACTGTATATACTTATCAAAAGGAAGTTATTATTTAGCATTTGAGTGAGTATAAGCTAGGATTCTCCATTGGCATTAATAATATCAAGAGTAAGTTGATAAAAAGTAAGAAAGTAGTCAAAATCAAGGTACCGGAAATTTTATTTGGGTTATCTAATTGTTTCTGTAGAATCATACATTTGGAATTTTTTGGAGGATGATTCATATGCAAGTGTTGAAGAACATAAAATACCACGTTCGAAACTTGAAAAACGAAAATATAATGTACAAGTGGTTCGATAGTTAATGACAGTTAGGATTTTTGTGATTAAACTCTAGACTTGATACTGAAATATTTAAGTTGGTGACAATGTCGTACAATTAAGTGGAAAAACAGGAACATAAGATATCTGAATGACAGTTAAGGAGAATAACCATGTGACAACCTCTCTTACAAGTAGAATCTAGATTCCAGCAAACCACTGCACCACTCAATTCAAATTGTACTTAGAAAGTACTCAAACAGTGCATGCAGCTGGAGTCCGTGAAAGCAACATGACATTTGAAAGAGAATCTAAAACTTTATTGACTAATTTCAGACTGTGTGGCTTTATGTGCTGCCTGTTCATGATTGATATATTTAGGGTTACAATCAGAGACCCTACTGGCCCAAAATGAATTGCTGCATTTCTTTTACTTTAAGGTCCAAAATCCTACGGACGATCCATATAGGTCCACTAACACCAGGTTGAGCAGAAGACACAACATGTGAAGTGAAGGAACAAAGTCTAATTCTTCACTTGTGCAATAATAAGCAGAAGAGAAATGTGATGTGATTGTGGCAGAGAAGAACCGTGGCCATACCCATGTGTTATTTTTAATGTTACTGGCAGAAAATGTCTGTTTATGGAGAAGATGTTGGAAAATAATAGAGAGAAAAGAACAAAAAATAACTGGATCTGTTATCTGCAGCCAGGTTTTTTGAGGAAGGCTCAGTTTGCTCATGTGAGTTGGGGTTGTGGTGGTGAAAGACTTGAAAGAGTATCGTTCATTCTCTCAGTTGAAATCCTTAATTGGGATTTTGAATTCAGCTGCAGCATGGGGTTCTCATGTGGGGTGTTTTCTACAGACTTGGCCTTTTGTATGGTGAAGCTTTTGACTAGATAGATAGGGTTTTGTGTGTATGTGACTGTACTTATTATATGTGTGACGAGAAGTCAGTGTAGCTTTATCTCAAGCCAATCTCGTATGTTTGCCATTGTGGAAAAACTAAAACACATACCAGTGCATAATTGACTTTAAATATGTACTAAAATGGTAACATTCCCGATAGGTAAGTGTCTCTTGTGCCAACAACACTTTCTTCAAATATTTTTGTTCATCTTTATTTCTTGTAGTCTGCTTTCATGTGCTATTTACAGTGCATCAAAAGCAGAAGCTATTAAAAACCAATAATTTTGATTTGCTTCAATCACATTATTTGGAGATATCTGACAGCAAAAGAAAAGAAAAAAGGGGAATTATGGCAATTTACACTAAAACACATAATGTCAGTTTAGATATTATATGTACATCTTCACAAGTTTTTCACTGAGATTTACTTTGGTAGATTTTTGGCAGTAAACCTAGCAATATCGTATCTTTTGTCTTTGTGCAGAAAACAGAAGAAATTGATGTTTGGTTTGATTTCTATTTGTGCAGAAACCTATCTATATCCAATAATCTGTCTTCTGTACACTGAATCAATCACATTCAATGAGGTTGATTTTTTTTCCCTTACAAAGAAACTTGAGCAGTTCATCCAATTCGTTGATGAAAGGAACTTGAGCAGTTTTATCAAGTCCTACAAAAGAACCAGCTCATTTGCACCATTGGACCTTCGTAACCAAACAGTTTCCTAATCTGTTGCCTAACCACCGAGTACTTCTAATTCGTTGATGTACCAGCATTACTAGTTCATTCATGTTATAATACTTGTATATATCAACAGTTCTATACCCTAAGTTCATGTGCTACCAATCATGTCGTCTACAATATTATGACACGTAAATTAGTAACATCACGTGGCCGTCTCGCCATCATTCTCAAAGACTTATCCATAACACCATCCTCATCATCTGTTCAATAAGCTTTAGCTTTCTGCTGATATCATTATATGCATAATGCCCTTTCCCTTTTCCTCCTCCCTGAGCCATTTAGAAAGAAAAAAAAAATTAGAAATGATTACCGGCCAATACTTATACTAGTATTCGGGCAGAAAGGTTTAGTCATTGGCTTCCTTTACATAATCAAACATGTTTAAACAATTAATTCTCACACAACATTTCAACTTATCACTCCAAAAGGCAAAAGTTTTGAACTGCATTCCTTCCTTTTTAGATATTGCTTTACAGAGAAGATTTAACTGTGATTTTCATTGAGGGCTTTGTGGCTTCTATCCATGTGCAAGGGCAACAGAGGCTTAATAAACTTGTATTTTTATTTGATCATCAAGTTGGTCAAACCTCAAAGATAATAGTTGTTAAAGGGAATGGTGATGTGTAGCCAAATTGCAATTTGGCTAATTCTCTAGTGGGAGAGAATAGAGAGAGAAAACAAAGGTGGTGGGTGTGGTGGACTCGAGTTTTCATTCTTCCATTGATGGGTCCTACCCATCTGATGACAGATGCTTGTGGCAAGTTGCCAATCTTAAAAACTTTTGAGTTAGTGGGCTGGCCATTTACTTTAATAGGCTTTACGGGAATACATGGGTTTAAGAGAATGTAGAACTATTTTTAGAGCAATATTGCTTCAGGTAGTTGTTCTTGGCTGAGAATTAGGAACCTTTGCACATGAAAAACCATGTATTAATGCAAGATGGAGAGGAAGTGGGAAAAGGGACCTCTTAATTAGTTTAACACTTGAACTTAGCCGCAAACGCTGGCACTAGTCGCAATCATATTGAGCTTATGTGCTTCCTCTGTGTACTCGAGTTTGGATTTTTTTTTTTTTTAAATAAATTTTGTTTGTATAAGAAAAAACACTTAAACATAGCCGTTGTGTAGTTATGCTCACATGATCACTAATTTTTCTTTGTTGTATGTAAATAGTATGAGATAAATGGGGATATGAAAATAGATAGAACTGGAAACCTGTGATTGAACTCGATCATTGGATTAATATGATACAAGAACTGTCTGGAACTTCAGAAAAAATAAAATAAAAATGAAGAAGAAAAAAGAAGCCTCATCATCCTCGGTTTACAAAACTCCCAACATTTTCGGTACTTGGGTTGGACCTTTGGAGAGGGCTCTTTGTCTTTGTGTGCTACCTATTTGTTTTCTTTCCTTTGTATGATATACACTAATTTTTTTTTTCTTTTTCTTTCATTTTTTAACACCATGAGAGTTAATTAAGTGTCTGGTTAATCTTCTGAATGGATAGGTAAATCTTTTTAGAACTGGGAAATACATCTTCTATGGCAAGCTGTGGTTCTCTTTTGGACCTGCTTGGTTTCTCCTTTCCACACATTGCCAATATCTCGAGCAATTCTCATGGCATCACTTGATGCACCACTGAGCCCTCTCCTTGTGAACCCTACTGCATAAAGTCCTGCATTTCCCTTCCAACCATGGGGGAATGGCTGCTTTGGGAATCCATTCTTAGAGAAGAAATCACCTTCCTGTTAAACATAGCACAAAACAAGATTAGTCACTGGTCCAAAAACAACAATCAAAGTTACCATGAAAGTTTTTAGTCTCGATGTTCGTGTACAGACATTTTTTTGTCACAGCATCCTTAATTGACGTATCGCGCCAACAGGTGATGTGACAAACATTGTATACAACCGAGTTTTAAAGAAAAATAAGAGTTTGGAACATTTTTTTACCTGAAGCCAAGAAGGGACATTGCTGCGGTATCCGGTGGCTAGAACAGCAGAGTCGATTTCGAGGGTTTCACCGTTAACGAGCTCAACTTGACCGGGGGAGAACCTCTTGATTCCGGGAACAACTTTTATTCTTCCGGACTTGATTTTGTCCAATGCACCAATGTCCAAAACAGGGGTTTTTCCTTCAACGTTCTTCATCTCCATTGGTCCCAAGGATGGCCTTTTCAGCCCGTATTTCTCAATGCTTCCGAGCACCAACCATGAAAACATCAGGAGCAACTTGTCAGCCAACCAAACTGGCAGCCATTTTAGCAAGAAAACCGCCAATTCGAACGTTGATTTTCCGAAGATTTCTCTAGGCATAACATGAACCTGTAAAAAACACAGCAAAAATTATTAGACTTCCATCAGAAGAGTAGAACTTAGTAGAGAAAATTAAGGACTCGTTTGATAACCATTTCATTTTTTAGTTTTAGAGTACTTTTATCAATGACTTACCGAGCTTCTAACCACCATTGATGGGAAGGCATTGTGGTTGCAGAGGTCAAGAGAGACTTCCATGCCGGAGTTTCCGCACCCAACAACAAGTACTTTCTTTCCCCTGAAATTTTCACCGGACTTGTACTCACACGCGTGCATAACTTCACCTCCAAACTCCGACAAGCCGTCAATTTCTGGCAGGACACACTCGGCATTTTCGCCCGTGGCAACGATGAGCCACCTGCAAATGTACTCAACCTCAGACCGGGTAGACTCGGTTGAGGTAACGGTCTTGACTCTCCAGAAACCGCTTGTCTCATCGTACCTTGCGGATTGAACGCATGAGTTGAACTTTGGGTTGATCTCAAAGTGTTTTGCATATGACTCAAGGTAGTCGATGAATTGTCGTTTTGTTGGGTACTCAGGGAAGTCTTCTGGGAATGGAAGCTTGGGAAGTTGGCAAAATGCTTTTGGAAGGTGAAGTTTGAGCCTGTCGTAGGTGCGTTTTTGCCAAAGCGATGCTATGCACTCGGCTCTCTCAAGGACAACAAAGGGTACTCCTTGGTCTCTGAGACATGCCGCTGTTGCCAGACCTGATGGTCCGGCTCCAACTATGATTGGACCATTGACCATGATGCAACGGCGAGCGAAGAAATCTTCATGATCAGCTAATCGAAACAAGTTCTCCATGCTTATGATCAAAGAAGTAGTAGCTCAAACACTAAAAGTGTTAATTTTTGGTGGGATTTTGAGTAATGGGTTTTAAGTACAACACAATTTGGGATTGTTTGTTGTTGTAGTTGAAAGTAGATCAAAGATCTTGAGAATTTTGAGAAGGTTTGTAAGTCGAGGTTTGCAAATGTAGAGAGCAGAGTGTGTTGAGTTTGGTTTGGAGGGAGAGGAGGGGGTGGGGGTGCTTATATAGATGTGAAGTGCATGTGATAGCAGTGTGGGGAGTAAAATGCGCTTTGAGAGTCACTTCCAAATCATAAACATTTGGTTTATTTTTTAGATAATAATGAACACAATTTTCCCTAACATTATTTTATTAGATCTTGCATAAAAATATTCAAGAGGCTTGGAATATTTTTTGCAATTATTTTATAGGATTATTCTTTTCTTAGGAAAGCTTTCATCACTACCACAATATGAAGGGACTTTTATATTTTTCTTCGATAATTTTTATTTTGAGAAATGCTAAGTAGACTCTTTCAAAATAAGACTTTTCACAAACTTTTTGTCACCTCACAGTTTAACTTACTTTTCGTATCAATATCATAAAACATTGTGTAAAAAAAATGAAGTGACAAACAATTCATGAAGAATCCCTCTTTTAAGAGAGTCTCCTTAGTATTTTCTTTTAATTTTGTACGGGAGTTGAATGTTGTTTGTGAAATAAGCGAGGTTAGGAAAACACTTCAATCACCCCTTGGAGGCATGCATTTAAAATGAATTAGACCAATAAAATTGACAATTATTATTATTATCACAAAAACATAAATATCACATCTCTATTTCAACCATGCAAAAGTCTTTCAAATGTATGTTAGTAGGAGAACTGCATTCACAATAATAGATGATACCCATAATAATAGAACCATTTTAAATAAAATTCAAATGATATATAACAAAGTAATGCATAAATCAAATAAGTACATAGATAGTGCAAATTAAAATCATCTTTATTAATTCACCAAAATATCATTTTGATTCAAGAAATGGGAAGTTGGGAAAGGGACATGTCATCCTCAACATATTCAATTTGGCCCACAGAGAATTTCGAAAATCCGTTGGAAAAAATATTTTATTTTGAAAATAGAAAAAATATCGTGTAGTTGGTGCCTACGTGGCGGAGAATGCTGACATGGATGTGTAAGCAGTGTGCTCACGTGGAGGGGAGTAGCCAACTTGCTGTTGGGGGCTGAAAACGGACCCCAAATGGCCCACAATGTCCATTCCGCCAACCGGTTTTCGCACCACGCTAGCGGGTTCCCTTGCTCCCACATTTGTCCGTCTCATTTGTTTGAGATGCGATGATAATATTATTTTAATTACTTGTTTTAATTTTTTGAAGGAAACAATGATACATTCAGTATTACAGTCATAATCTGTCAAGTACATTTGTTAGGGATGAAATGTCAATTACTTTAAATTTTCTATTGTTTTTTATGAAATAACCAATGAGATATTCGTGCATTTACCAACTGGTTTATAATTCAAGTATAACATTACTAATACAACGTAATTTACAATGTGTATAGATTACACCATTACATAATATTATAACAATTGTACTAAAAACTGCTTCCGTACTGTTTTCTGACTACGAAAAAAGAAAAGAAACCCTAATTAATCTAGGGTTTCCGTTTGCCTAGTATTAATGTTAATATAACATGACGTGGGGATATTTGATATAAACGAATATGTTTTGTCTTTGCAAGTGACCGATCGAATATACAATTGGAGAACAAGATGTTTGGATCATACCATATAGCATTTTGCTACCATATTGCATTTTTCTTATTGATACTCCCACAAATTTGTTTAAAATTTTGAATTTTAACCTACTTTTTAAGGTAGAAAGCACGCACTCTCACCCATCTTATAAAATTAGTTACTTTCTCTAACACCTTTGGGAATTTAAAATTAAATGTAATGCATGCCAAATAAAATGAACCACGATCTTGCAGCCAGCTAGCCTTATTTTACTATGTTATTTGATAAACCCTAGAGGTTTGTTCATTGTACGCGGAAAGCTGAGAGAAGTTGATACTGTGTTCTACTTTCGGTACCAGGGTGAATAGTCCTATTTCGACACGCGTCCCCTGCTAAAGCTAGCTAGAAAGTGAAGTTTTAGAGCTTTTCTTAATTAAGTTGATTATGACGGTGATTAAACCTAGGTTTAACTTTTTAGGGTTTGTATAATAACTTATAAACTTGTGTGAAATGGCGCTAGGACGGCCAAAGTACACCACTTCATTTGTGGCTCTGCATGAATAGTTTTGAGTTGGAAAAATCATGGGTCCGCGTCTGTCCCACTCTACTGATCATCTCAACCCCCACTTGGAGCTCTGAGCATACAGAGAGAGAGAGAGAGAGAGAGAGAGAGAGAGAGAGATACATACATACATACATACATACATACATACATACATACATACATATATATATATATATTCATGGGAAGAGGAGAGGGAAGCATGTGCATGAAAGCCTTGAATTCCATGAGAGTCCCTCCTTTTCATGAAAGGTTTTGGGAGGTATAAGCTTCGCACTTATAAGAATTTCTATATTATATTGGCTTTGAAGTGAGTAGTACCATCATCACTATGATCAAAATGAATATCCAAAGTTACTTTGCAAGCTAGCTAAGCTCTTAACTATTCATTTACTCCCAACCTTGGTAGCTAAGCTCTTACTTCATTTGCCACCAATAGTACTTCGATAGTGTAGGAAAATGGGTTATGAGGTTTTAGCTTTTCTATATTGCACTATGATGTTTTGATATTCAACCCTTAATTGTTTTGACAATTAAATGGTTAATGATGCAATTAACCTAACAAAATGTGTAAACTAGGCAAATGTCAATAGATTAGAATACAATGCAAAAAAATTAGAATTTCTCGTAACCAGCCTATTTTGACACTAACCTTAAACCTTGATAGTGTGAAGTACTTTGCATGCTGGATAACCTCTTACCTAGTCACTTGCATCCCCAATATTTCATTTGACATCAACACTTTTATTTTTTGTAGAAAAATAAACCTCCAAATACAACATACAAAGGTGATAGATATTGGGATATAAACGAGAGAGAAGGAGAATATATATATATATATATATATATGAGTTTGGTGTGATATATGATATATCCCATGCATGATATGATAGGGATATGTATTTTTGTTGTTATCCCTATGGCTTGTATATTCTACCAGCCTTGCAATACTCCACTGCCAGTCTGCCAGCTTGGTGGCTCATAATCTTATTAGGGACACTTTCTAGGATGGGGAAGAGTTGTTTTGTAGCTTCCCTATTCTTTTTCTCTTCTTTCATAGCAAGATCGTTAGGGCTAGCTTTCTTCTCTTTCATCGAAATATGCATGCATGCTTTCATTCTCTATGGTCGGCGGTACTTGCTAAGAAGCAAGCGCGTTAGTATTGTGTATTGGGAAGAATATTTATCTTTATGAGTGTAGATTAATTAATTAATTGAATAATCATGGAAAAGTAGTTTAATTTGTTAAATCTATAATGAGTTTCATCAGTCACGCGTGAAGGAAAGTACTTCCAAGAAAAGCGAAATCATTAAGATATCACTGGTTTCCTAGTTGTTGTTTATATATGCTAGCTATGCTAATTGGCAACTTAATTCTCACCAAGCAGAAAGTTAATTCTCTAAATGGTCTTGGGGAATGGGAATGGCGGTGCCAAGTGGAGGGCATGATGCTTGGGTTAATCTTAATCTTAATCGTAGGGTAGCTGCTATATGTGCAACAGATTGGTTACCTAGTGGCATGTTGGACAGTTGGAGATCAAGTAAAGAAATGAAAATTTTTGGGCAAAGTGATATTAGGGAGAACAAATGTTTAAATAAAATTTTGTACACCAAATGATGTGAACATTGATGATTGAATTATCATTTAAGTGTTGATTAACGTGCTTATTTTATATTGGTGACACATCATTTGGTTTGCAAATTTAGTTTAAAATTTTGGTCTCCTTAACATTATCCAATTTTTGAACCAAATTTGCAAACTAAATGATGTGTAACCAGTAGGAAATAAGCACGTTAATCAGCACTTAAGTACTAATCCAATTATCAACACTCGCATCATTTGATTTACAAAATTTGTTCTCCCTAGCATTATACATGTTAGGTAGACCAACCTTTTAGATCATATTTGTAAATTATGTGATGTATCACCAATAGAAAATAGGCTTAGCACATTAATCAACACTTCAATAATAATTCAATCATCAACAGCCACGTCATATGGTTTATAAAATATAGTTTAAATTGATAGTCTCTCTAGCATTACCCGAGATTAAAAATGCTTATGATAGTGTTTAACCAAAAGGATAATGCTAGGGAATCCAAATTTTTAAACCAAATGATGTGTCACCACTCACCAATAGGAAATAAGCAAGTTAATCAAATAATGTTAGGGAGACCAAATTTTTAAACCAAATTTGCAAACCAAATTATACATCATCAATAGGAAATAATCACGTTAATTAATACTTAAGTAATAATCCAATCATCACGATTCACATCATTTGGTTTACAAAATTTAATTTGAAAATTTTGTCTCCCTGGCATTACCCTTAACCAAAGGGGTACTTGTACTGTCCACACACCATTTTGTACTTCATACACACCGTCTTAATTTGCAGCCGTTGGATCGACTGAATTAAAAAATATCAAATGACAGAAATTAACAAAATGTGTGTGAGAAGGAAAAAGAGATGTATGAATAGCACACCCTTAACCAAAAAGTCGAAAAAACTAGCACTTGCTATGTGATATTTCTTTCAACAAGCATTTAAGTACTTTTTTAAGAGATTACGGCTATGTTTGGATATATATATATATTTAAAAAGATTGAAAGCATTTTTTATGAAAATGTTTTTGGAACCAATTAGTCCTTAGTAAAAATGCAAAGTGAATCTTAGAAAAGCACTCGAAGTGCTTTCTACAGGAAGCACATAATTGGTGCTTCTTTCAAAATACATTTCAAGTGCTTTCAGAATCTAAAAAAAAAAAAAATTCACCAAAAACGCTTTCAGTTATTTTGAAAGAAATTTTAAATGGGTTTTATATATGCTACTAGCACATAAAAATACAATAACTTTACATAGGATGTTGGTCAC